GGGGGAGCACTTGTGTAGGGGCCCACTGTCCATCTGTTTTCTTAATACTCGACCTATAAATATATGTACATTGATCTATTTCCCCCTCAAGAGATCCTTTTTATACCCATTACAAAGAAAGGTAACCCAACAGAATGCTCAAGTTATAGAACAGTATCATTAATATCACATGCAAGTAAAATTTTGCTAACACTTCTTCAACAATGGTTCCAACAGTACATCAACAGGGACTGCCAGAGATTCAGGCCTATTTCAAAAGAGGATGTAGAACAAGGAATATCACTGCTGATGTCAGGTGAATCATAGCTCAAAGCAGAGAACACCAGGAAAATGTTTACTTGTGATTTATTGACTGCACAAAGGCATTTGACTCTATAGATCATAACAAACTATGGATAGCCTTGAGAAAAATGGGAATTTCAGAACACTTTATTGTGCGTCTGTGGAACTTGAACATGGATCAAGAGGCAATCATTTGAACAGAAAAGGGGAACACTGAATAGTTTAAAATCAGGAAAGGTGCATGTCGGTGTTGTATCCTCTCACCTGCTTATTCAATCTATATGCTGAACATATAACCCGAGAGGCTGAATGACATGAAGAAGAATGCAGCATCAGGACTGCAAGAAGGCTTAACACCAACCTGCAATGTCCAGATCACACAACCTTGCTTGCTGAAAGTGAGGAAGACTTGAAGCACTTGTTGGTGAAGATCAAGGATTGCAGCCTTCATTATGGAGTACAACTCAATGGAAAGAAAACCTAAATCCTCACAACTAGACCAATAGGTCACATCATGATAAATGGAGAAAAGATTGAAGCTGTCAAGGATTTTATCTTGCTTGGATCCACAATCAATGCCCATGGAAGCAGCAATCAAGAAATCAAACAATGCCATGTATTGGGGTAAATCTAATGCACAAGATCTGTTTAAAATATTGAAGAGCAATGATGTCACATTGAGAACTAAGGTGCATATGGCTCAAACCTCATATGCATGTGATAGTTTTACATTGAATAAGGAACACCAGAGAAGAATCAATGTTGAATGATGGTGCTAGGGGCTAATATTGAAAGTACCATGGACTGCCTAAAGAACGAACAAATTTGTTTAGAAGTACAGCTAGAATGTTCCTTGGAAGCAAGGTTTGAACTCGTTATCAGGAGAGACCAGCCCTGGAAAAGGATATCATGCTTGGTAATGTGGAAGGACATCAAAAAGGAGGAGATGGATTGACCCAGTTGCACAATAATGGGCACAAACATCACAAGTGTAAGGTTGGAACTGGACTGAGCAGTGTTTCATTCTGTTGTACATAGGGTCACTGTGCATCGGAACCAACTCAACAGTACATAACAACTATCACACAACACTCATGGAGGCATCAGTCAAGAAACAGGATGTATTTAATTGGGCAAGTCTACTGCACAAGACTTCTGTAAGGTGTCACGTTGAGGGCAAAGGCATGCTGACCCAAGAAATAGTATTTCCAAATATTTAATTTCCATGGGAAAGCCGGACAATTAAGGATGCCACCGAAGAATTGATGCATTTGAATTATGGTGTTGTTGAAGAATATTTTTAAGTATCGTGGGCTTCCATAGACAGTGTAAGACATGACAAAATAATAATAATTTATAAATTATCAAGGGTTCATCAGGGAGGGGGGAGCCGGGAGGGAGGGGGAAAAAATGAGGAGCTGATACCAAGGGCTCAAGTAGAAAGCAAATGTTTTGAGAATGATGATGGCAACAAATGTACAACTGTGCTTGACACAATGGATGGATGGATGGATTGTGATAAAAGTTGTACGAGCCCCCAGTAAAATGATTTTAAAAGAACAAACACATTTTCTTATAGGAAGAACAACCAGAATTATCTTAGAAGCGAGAATTGTAAAATGTCCTCTTACATATTTGGGATATGTTATCAAGAGAGACTAATCCACGGGGAAAGGACATCGTGATTTGTAAACAGAGGACGACACAAAAGGGAGCAGACCCGCAATGGGCTGAATTGACAGTGGCTGCATCCCTGAGCTCAAACACGACATCGCGAGAGTGGCATAAGGCCCGCAGTGTTTTGTTCTGTAGCCCTTCGAGTCGCTGTGAGGTGGAACGGACTCGTTGGCAGCCAGCAACAAACAGCATTGTTAGTATTACAGATTTCTAGCTAAGATAAAATACTTAATTGAGGTTTTATGACTTAGAAATTGTTTCTGCAAATGCCCTAGTTTGAAAATAATACACTTGTGGTTTGCTCTGTGAAATTTTTACCACCGAGATCCTGAAACCATTTTTCATAAAAGAATGTTCTTATCGTCTGTTTCCTTATCTAGGTCAGTTCTCTATGCCTATTAATTTTTTCCCACTTAAGATCCTTCTTCTGCTATCACTGTGCAGTTTGTTTATTTTGTATGACTTCACAGTTTTCCTTACTTCACTGGTTACTTACTGTGTTTAATTCCACCCTTACAACTTGTATCATCTGCACATAAAATGTTTAAAGAATCAGAACAATAATCTTTTGAAAACATGTTGAGTATTTAAGCCATGAGAATTTTTTTACAGGATCATCACATAATATAACTGTTACCATAATTCATATCTTAGTTTTTCCATTCTTTTTTTTTTAATCATTTTATTAGGGGCTCATACAACTCTTATCACAATCCATACACACATCAATTGTGTAAAGTGCATTTGTACATTCATTGCCCTTGTCATTCTCAAAACATTTCCTCCCACTTAAACCCCTGGCATTAGGTCCTCATTTTTCCCCCTCCCTCCCCGCTCCTCTCTCCCTCATGAGCTCTTGATAATTTATAAATTGTTATTTTGTCATGTCTTGCCCTGTCCGATGAAAAGTGGGTGAAGGGAGACGCTTTTTCCATTCTTGATCAAGGTCTCTCTAGTAAGTTTTTGTACTAATGAGTTGATTTCTAAAAATAGTTTCACATAGAAACCAAATAGCAACATTAGTTTTAAGCATTGCTACCTTTTTAAGTCTTAGCAAAATTGTAATTTTATTTCTTTAACTACTAATTCACATGGTAATACAAAGGGTCTTCAGTAAATTAATAGGAAAATTCCATTACCTTTAAAGTCTATTTTTCCATGGATATTTTGAAGTCTTCTTGTAGTTATCAGAGCCAGCTGATTTTGTCTAAGCAAAGGCATATTAATTTTTGAATTAATTTTAATTATAAAATTAGACTTAATTTAGTTATAACTTAATTTTAAATGTAAACTACAAACAAAACGTTACTGAATCTAATTTCCTTATTTTTCTACTCTAGGATCAGTTGACTAATTTTCAACAACTAACCAGGCAACTTCATGCTACTAATGAGAACGTAGAAATGGTAAGTGATAACATCCACTTAGTATACTCATTTATTTAAACTAGGATTTGTGACTATAAATAATCACATTTATTATGCTGAAGCAAAATAAAAACACCAAAACACCATTGCCAAGTTTATTTCAACTCATAATTACCTAAAGGACAGAGTCGAACTGCCCTATAGAGTTGCATCTCTCTTGTACAGAGTTGTTCGTGTATTTGAATGCCAATCTTTTGATTGGCAGGCAAGTGCTTTAGCAATGTACCACCAAGGTTTCTGACATTACCAACAGCAACAAAATATACATGATGTTAAAATAAGCAGAGTTATTTTCTCTTTACTGCCTCCTTTTCTTTCATATTTATCAGCATGTCATGGTTCAGAATACTTTTTGGACATCTAAAAGAAAAAAAGTCTATTTGAAATATATTCTAATGTGAAAGTATTCTTAGAGTCCTTGGTAGGACCCCTAAAAATGCTTCTCCAGAGTAGGATTCTTGCTTCATTCTTTGTATTTTTATCAGGCACATTAGTACTTAAATAATAATAGTGTGATGTTTATTTTTTTTAAATGACTAGCTCAATTCCTTAAAAATATTAGGAAATTAAGAACCATTATTATTTGACTGACCACTTATACTACCATTGGTGTATCTAGATTTCCCTTTAATTTTTAACTGAAAAATATAGAATTTCCTCTTCCATTTCTGCTCTTTTCATTTCGTTACCTGCTCAGAATTTTGTTTTTGTCTCATTGTTGAGTAATAGTATTATGACACTGGGTAGTTCTGGCCTTCATTCTTGTTCAGTTATGATGCTACTTCTTATTCGCACCTAATAAAAATGTCTTTGCTTAAGGGTGGAGATTTGTCATCCAAGTAAGTTATCCAATTTTTTTCTACCCTTAAAAGTGTTTTTCCTTAGCCATGTTAAAATATAGTTAAATCCATTGTGAATGAGGGGGAGTGCAGAGTGGGGACCCAGGGCCCATCCAGGGGAAATTGGACATCCCCTTGCAGAAGGGTTGCGGGGAGGTGAGGAGCAAATCGGATTGCAGTGTAGAAACGATGAAATATGCAATTTTCCTCTGATTCTTAAATGCTTCCTCCACCCCACTATCATGATCCCAATTCTACCTTACATATCCGGCTGGACTGGGGGAGGTGCACTGGCACAGATAGGAACTGAAAATACAGTGAACTCAGGACAGATGAACCCCCCAGGACCAGTGGAGAGAGTGGTGATGGCGGGAGGGTGGAGGGAAGGAGAGGGAGAAAGGGGGAACAGAGGACAAGGTCTACATGTGGCCTCCTCCCTGGGGGATGGACAGCGGAGAAGTGGGTGAGGGAGACGTGGGATGGGTTAAGATAAGATAAAATAATAATAAATTATAAATTATCGGGGGTTTGGAGGGAGTGGGGAGGGAAAGGGAAAAATGAGCTGACACCAGGGGCTCAAGTGGAAAGTGGGTGTCGTAAGAATGATGCAGTCAACATATGTACTAAAGTGCTGGACACAGGTGACGTGTGTACAGATTGTGATGAGTTGTATGAGCCCCTAATAAAATGATTATTTAAAAATATATATATAGTTAAATCTCTCTTCTATTTATGAATGGTGAAATCTTCTGTTAAAGAATATCAATAATATCTTGTGCAAATTAAATTTTTTTGAAGATCAGCCAACAATGATTGTAGCCATACATCAACAGGGAGTTGCCAGAAATTCAAGCCGATTCAGGAGAGGATAAAAATGAGGGACACCATTGCTGATGTCAGATGACACCATTGCTGATGTATGCTTTGCTGAAAAAGCATACCAAAGAGATGTGTACGTGTTTTATTGACAATGCAAAAACATTTAACTGCCTGGACCATAACATTGAAACGAATGGGAATTCCAAAACACTTCATTATGCTCATGCAGAGCTTGTGCATGCCTGAAGGGCAGTCGTTTGAACAGAAGGGAATACTGCATGGTTTTAAAATCAGATAAAGTGTGTGTTAAGATTATATTCTCTCACTGTACTTATTCAGTCTGTGTGCTGAGCATAAAATCTAAGACTCTGGACTATATGAAGAAGAATATGGCATCAGGGTTGGTGGAAGGCTTATTAACAACCTGTGATATGCAAATGACACAGCCTTGCTTGCTGAAAGCGTGGACTTGAAGCATTTGCTGATGAAGATCAAGGACGGTAGCCTTCAGAATAGATTGAAAACTCAATGTAAGAAAAACCAAAATCCACCCAACTGGACCAATAGGTAACATCATGATAAATGGGGGAAAGCTTGAAGTTGTCAAGGATTTCATCCTGCTTGTGTCCACAATTAATGCCTGTAAAATCAATAGTTAGGATAGCAAATGAGCCATTGCATTGGATAAGTCTGGTGCACAAGCCCTCTTAAAAAGTGTTGAAGAGCAATAATGTCACTTTGAGGACTAAGGGGCATCTGACCCAAACCCCGGTATTTTCGTTCATCTCATGTGCATGTGAAATTTGGAGATTGAATAGATCTGAGAAGAATTGATGCATTTGAATTACGGTATTGTTGAAAGTGCCAGGGACTGCAAAAGAACAATCAAATCTGCTTTGGAAGAAGTACAAAGGAATGCTTCTTAGAAGTGAGGATGGTGGGACTGGGTCTCATGTCTCCTGGAAAACTTATTAGGAGAAACCAGTCCTTGGAGAAGGACATTATGCTTGGTAAAATGAAGGCGATCTAAAAAGATGAAGACCCTCAAGGAGATGGGTTGACACAGTGTCTGCAACAATGAGCTCTGGCAAAATAATTGTGAGGAAGGCACAAGATCAGGTGGTATTTTGTTGTGTTGTACATAGGGTACTTATGGGTTGGAACTGAACACACACACAAAAAGTCAAATAATAAACTTATAAATTGTGGATAGACTAAAAATAATGGATAGACAAGCTGCATAAAATGTATTTTAAAAAGAAGTAAGAGCTATAGCACAAACAGACATGTGCACACAGGTGTTTATCAAAGCACTATGCTTAATAGCAAGAAGATGGAAATAACCCAAATGCCCATCAGCAGAAGAAAAGATAAAGAAAACCTTGGTACACTGACACAATAGAATACTATGTTTCACTAGAAAACAATGGTGAAACCTAGAAGTATCTCATAACGTGGATAGACCTAGAAAATAATTGTGCTGAGTGAAAGTAATCACAAAAGGAAAAGCTTTGTATGAGATCACTGTTATAAATAAATAAAAAGACAAAGGCTTTTATCCCAAAGGAGAGAAGCTGAAACAATTGACCAGATGGTTGTCAGGTGTTAACTTGGGTGAAGAAGTTAGTAATCCACCAGACAAAAAAAGATCCATCAAAGGAAGTGGTGGTATGGAGGTAATGGCGGTGGGGTGGGGTAATAAATAGCTTAAATTGTTTAATACAAAAATTAGTTATCTGAAATGTAAACTTAAACCTAATTTACACTTTTTTGAAAAGGTTGGGGTAGGGTGGACATTCTGAAGGTAGTTAAAGTAAAGGAAAATGACTGACTAAAACTTAGATTTTGTTCTTAATGTACAAAAGAGATATGAATCAAGACTGCTAAAAGTCGAAATGACTGTCAAGATCTTGTACATCTCAAAGAGCTTACATAGTTTAGCCATCAGAACAAATTTGAGTCAAACTTGTTAACCAAGAGGTTAAAAAAAATTGAAACAAATACTCAAAAAACCAAGCAGTTACCTTGAAAAAGTTTTCTTATGATATAAATATACTTGTTAAATGAATAGATCCCAATAGATGTATAATAAATTGATGAGAATACAATAAATAAATTACCTCTCATTACCACTGCAAATCAATAATATGTATGCCTGACCTGAATGGTACATGAAAGTACAAATTTATATATACATATGAGGACTGTGCCCATAAATAAAGAGTGCCCATTTCCTAGATACTACTCGAGACTATATATTTTTAGATTATCTCATTTTTTTGAAATTACTTAAAAATTTTCATTAACTACCTACTAAGTTTCTTACACTTTTATAGGTTCTCTGAGTTGCAGAGGGAATCTGTGCCTATCCACAAAGCCTCTATCTACCTGGAAAAATAGGACTGACATAGGAAATAATCTTCAAGTAAGATACCATGTTTGAAAGGGATGTTTTCTTAGGCCCTTATGAGTCTCTACATTCTATAATATTAATATAGTACTTAATTTTATTTGTGATCATAGATACAGAACAAAAAAGCAATATTCAGGTGCAGCTGTTAATTTCCAACTAGTCTTGCTAGTAAGTTAAATGGCTTTATTTTCAATACTATTTTAAAAATTCAAAATTCCAATTTAAGTCTCCCTTAATTACTCTATGTTATTTGTCCTGAGGATTATCCCAAGTAGTCAAAAACATAAACTTTAATTATTGCTGGCACCAACATAGTATGTAATAAAGCACTAACGTATACACCCTGTAGAAGTCAGAGACGTGAATCAACTTGGGCTGAAGTAGCAGAGTTAGTTTCACAGGAGATTTTGAAAATCTGTGAATCCAGTGCTGGTGAGTCGATTTTGACCATAGTGATCCTATATGGGACATTGTAGAATTGTTCCTTAGGGTGTTTGTGCCAGGCAGGGTTGTCTAGAGAAAGAAAACCAGTGACAGTCATACATGTGTAAGAAAGAAGTAGGAAGCAGGGAGATCAAAGACCTGCTGGTGCAGAGTCCTGTCAAGCCAAGGTCCATGGGAACATGCGAGGCCACCGACAGCTCCCAAGTTAGCTCCCACTTCCTCTACATAGGTCCTATCAAGTTGACATAAAATCTAACTTCCCATAATGTCCAAGACTGTAAGTCTCTCTAGGAGCAGACCGCCTCATCTTTCTCTCAGAAGTGACTGGAGGGTGTAAGCCACAAGACTCCTTGAGCTTCTTGAAATTTTGTTTTTGATAGGTGCCATTGAGTTGGTTCAGTTCATAACAACTCTATGAACAATACGGAGAAACAGCTCCCAGCCGTGCACCATACACACAAGTATTCTTATCTTTGAGTCCATTGTTGAAGGCACTGTGTCCAGTTCCACAACAGCACAATCAAGCGTCCTAGAATTCTCAATTTTCTCAAGTTTTGTTTTCGTCCACGTAACGGAATGCCTTTGCATGGCAATAAAAAGTAACTCTTTCCCAAGCATTGTGTCAGGATGTGTTGTTAGATGGTGAGATGGTGTCAAGTTGATCCCAACTTACAGAAACCTAAGGTACAACAGAAACACCATCCAATCTTGCACCATCCTCACAGTTGTTCGTACTGTTAAACCCCTTGTTTCAGTCACTGTGTCAGCCCATCTCATTGAGGGTCTTCCTCTTGTTCTCTGCACGATATTCTTCTCCAGGCACTGTCTCTCCCAACAACTTGTCAAGAGACAGAGGCAAAGTCTTGCCATTTTACCTCTAAGGACACTCTGGCCAGACTTCTTCCAAGACAGATTGGTTTGTTCTTTGGACAGTACATAGTACTTTGAATATTCTGCACCAGCACCACAATTCAAATGCATCGATTCTTCTTCAGTCTTCCTTATTCAGTGTTCAACTTTAACATGCATATGAGACAATTTAAAATACCGTGGCTTAGGTCAGGTGCACGTTGGTCCTCAAAGTAGCATCTTTGCTCTTCAGTACTCTAAAGAGTTCTTGTGCAGCAGACTTACCTAGTGCAGTGCATCGTTTGAGCTTTTGATAGTTACTTCATTGAACATTACTTCTGGATCCAACCAAGACAAAATCTTCGACAACTTCAATCTTTTCACCATTTTTCTTTTTTTTTCTTTTCACCATTTTTTATGCTTACTTTTTAATCCAGTTGTAAGGATTTGGGTTTTCTTTACATTGAATTGTAATCCAAACTGAAGGCTGCAATCCTTGATCTTCACCAGCAAATGCTTCAAGTCCTCCTCATTTTTAGCTAGCAAGACTGTCTTCTGCCTTCCTAGGTTTTTAAGACGCCATCCTCCCGTCCTGATGCCTAATTTCAACAAGCTGATAAAACAGTAAAGCTCATGTATCTATGCTGGGATCTCTGGAAGACAGCTAGTTGGCCAAATGACTAGAGGAGATACTTACCTGATACATTACAAAGAAAGGTGACTCAACAGAATGCCCAGGTTATAGAACAGTATCATTAATAGCACAAGCAAGTCACATTTTGCCGCAGACGATCCAACAGTGGTTGTAGCAGTATATTGATAGGGACATGCCAGAGGTTCAGGCTAGATTCATAAGAGGACATGGAACAAAGGATATAATGGTTATTGTCAGATGGATCTTCATATTCTTCATATAATCCAACTTCTTTGATTTTTTGCTTAGCATACAAATTGATTAAATATGGAGAGAAGATACAACCTTGAAACACACCATGCCTGATTTAAAACTATACAGTATTCCCTTGTTATGTGTGTACAACTGCCTCTTATTCCATGTAAAAGTTATCCAAGAGCCTGGATTCCTGTTCCTCTCAAGGGTAGCCATAGTTTGTTATGATTCACACAGTCAAATGCCTGAATAAATAAATCAAGTAAACATCTCTGGTATTCTCTGCTTTTAGCCAAGATCCATCTGACAACAACCATTATAGCCTTTGTTCCATGTCCTCGTCTGAATCTAACCTGAACCTCTGGCATGTCCCTATCAATATCCTGCTACAACCATTGTTGGATCGTCTTCAGCAAAATTTGACTTGCTTGTGATATTAATGATACTGTTCTATAACCTGGGCATTTTGTTGGGTCAACTTTCTTTGTAATGTACCAGATATGTATCCCTTCCAGTCATTTGGCCAACTAGTTGTCTTCCAGATTTCCTGGCATAGATACATGAGCTTTACTGTTTCAGCAGCTTGTTGAAATATTTCTATTAGTATTCCATCAATTCCTGGAGCATTGTTTTTGGCTAAGGCAACTTGGGCTTCTCCCTTCAGTATCATTGGTTGTTAATCATATGCTACCTCTTGAAATGGTTCAATGTCCACCAGGGCTTTTTTGGTATAGTAGTCTGTTTTGCAAGATCAAGCCACAATCCTGAGGCTTTCTTTTATGTGTTAGCAAAGACATTCATGGTTCATTCTTGATCAAACCAGAATTTACTATTCCTAGAAATGAAATAATTACTTCTGTCTGAGAGTAAGTAGATCACCTAAGGAAGCCTTCTCAATGGTGATAGCCATGGAACTGGGTGGGTGTTGAAGGATGAATACAGGAAGCATGAGGGCGTCATGGAGGAAAGTGAAATCTGAGTAGTTTCGTATAGCAGGATGAATAGATGACTAGGGAATGCAGAGACTTTAAGGTCAGATCTTAAGTGCCTTGATATATCCTTAAGCTTTATTGAGGGTATACATTGGGATGCTATTAATGGTTTTTAGGAACACCATAGTGGTGCAATCAGGTAAGCATTGGACTGCTAACTAAAAGTCAGCAGTTCAAACATACCAGTCACTTTGCTGAAGAAAAATGAGGTTCTCTGCTCCCATAAAACTTTATAGCTTTGGAAATATGTATTTCTATGTAGGATTGTTATGAGTTGGGATAGACTCAATGGAAGTGAGTTTGGAGGGGTTTTGTTGTTGTTGTTGTTTTTTAATGACTTTTTAAGCAAATCTGTGACATGACTATATAAGGAGATTTTTGAAAGTTTGTGGAGAAATGAAATTAAAAGGTATTAGAATTTTTCCATGAACTGTTTAAAGCACTCTCCTATTTGAAAAAGGTTGCTTTAGTAGCAGTATAAAGTGAAGGTGTGAGAATTTGTAGTCATCTAAGCAAGACATTATTAAACTCTAAACATCAAAATCATGCTTATTCCTATTTGAACTTAGTGTATTTATATAATAGACTCAGCATTTCTTAATAAATGTATCAATTGAAAATTAAGTAGTCGAGTTTAAACCTGAGAAGTTAAAAGTATGAAGTCAAAGAAATGGGGTAGAGCATGGAAAGAGTGCAGTGAAATCTGCTTCAGGGACTTTAGTTGAAAAGGTAAACATGTGTATGATCTTTTCAATTGGAAGAGGCTAAAATCAAGACTATCACTTAGGATAAAGCTACTCTATATGGGTAGGTGGATGAGGGATTTCCATACTTGTGAGATAAAATAAACTCCTTTAGGAAATGTTTTTTTCTGTATGTAGACAGCTCCTTAATATTTTGCTTCCACATGTAGACCCTGAATAAATACAAAGCATGTAGTAGGAGGTCATGCCAGGGAGCACCAGTAAGGGAGCAGAGATGTGAAGCGAAGAAGAGTGGGATAAATAAGGCATCGAGAGAGGGTTTTTGTTTGCTTGTTTTCAGTCAAGCATGTTAACAATGTGAGTAGCTAAAACATAATCCCACTGATGAAATTTGGAAGACAGTTGGAAGCAGGCTTAAGAATTAACCTACTCAAGGTGCAAGACTTTGGAGGCTGTTACATCAACTCCTGTGAGTCATTGTTACCCAGAGCGCAATAGGCTTGTTCTGCATGTGTAGTCTTCTTCTGCACAGGTGTGCAAGCCTGGTGGGCCCAGATGTCCAGAGAAGTCCCAAAGACAGAACTGCAGATGCAGGCTGTTTGAAGCTGTTCAGGTGTCCACTAAAGCGGTAAAGGAGAGGGCGATAAGCAGGATGATAATTTACCTTCAAAAAGTCTAATCTTCATGACTTTCATTTAACTTTTTCTATGGTTATGGTTATGGTTGATTTCTACGCTCAATATTTAAAAGTAGTAAAGTCCTTGAATGTTCTAATGGTGAATATTTCTATTTTTCTTGTGGCAGACCAACCAACAATTTCTGAAAACAGTAACTGAACAAAATGCGGAAATTGAACAACTACGGAAACAATTCAGGTATTTTCAAAATTTAGTTTTATTATTATATTATTATAAATTGGTTTTCTTTTTGACAATGTATGATACTATTTTCTTTTTAAAATTTTTTTATACTACACTTTTTTCTATGAGGATTTTTTCTGCCTTTTATTATGCTTTTATCAATATATATATTCTATCATATGACAAAACTATCAACTGCAATGGCTACACCTGATATTAAAGCCAGCAGCTATGGACGAAAATCAGTTATCTTAGAAAACATTGTTTTATACAGAGAAGACTACTTCATAGCTTACTTTGGATTTCACCAGAAGTTAACCCTGAGGAGAGTTTCAAAGCATGTAGTCCAGATGGGTGGTAAGGCCCGGGAACACCAGTGGAGGACAAGGAAACTGAGCCAGGGAAAGAAAGAGAAGGGAAAAGAGGGCATCATAAAAGGGTTTTTTTTTTAAATCAGCAACTTAATAGTATGTATGTGTGTGTTTGTGTGTTGAGTATAGTGGTTTAATAATTATTATAGTAATAGACTTTAGGGAGAAATATTAAATGACCAAATATAAATAAATTACAGATTTTATTATATGCTGTAGTCATTTAAAAATGTCATTGAAATTATTAGTTGTTAAATAATATTTTGCTACTTATTTTGTCTTTCCACTGTCACATATTTTGTCCCACAAAATAATGTATTATTTTCAAACAAGAAAATCAGAGTTTTTGTGCCTTTTTTTTTTCATTTTTATTTTACTATCTTCACCAATTCTTCAGTTTAAATAAATTTACTTCTCCCACCTAGACATTTAAACTAATGGACTCCTATTTGGTCTGGTTTCTGTTTTTTTGTGTACTGATCTTATAGTTTAAAGTGGTAATGATTTATGTGATTCAATATTTCTCTTTTCAAAATGAGAGATGTTTAAAATCTTTAGAAAAATGTAATCCCACTACAAAGCTTTAGATAGTAGAAAAATATAACAAGTGGAAATTAAAATATCATTATTTGAAGATTACTACCATTAACTTTAGGATGCTTGGTGGCTTGGTGGGGTAAGCACTGGGCTGCTAACCTGAAGGTTGGCGTTTCAAGCCTAAAATGGTGCAAAACTAAATGGTACGTTTTAAACCTAAAATGGTGCAACCTTCTTCCATAAAGATTTGCTGCTCTCGAAACTCAATGGGGCAATTCCACTCAGTTGTAGAGGGTCATTATGAATTGTAATAGACTCAGTAGTAATGGGTTCATTGCCAACTTTGTAATTGTATAATGTAGGTCTATATATATATTTAAGTATTTTAATAAAATAGATAATATACACAGTGTGATCAACTAATTATTTGCATGTCAAATATGAACATCTCATCAGTATTATCGTTCTTTATATTTTACAGTATTTTATTATATATATGCTATTATTACTTTCCTTGAAGTTGATTCCAACTCTTGGTGACCTATGATGACCTACTCTAAACTTACTACTTGAATTTTTTTATACATCATACACTGTTATTCCTATTTCATCTCTAGGAGAGTAACCCTATATTCCTTTTCATTAATTATGAGAATTAGAACTGTATTTGAATAAGTACATGACACGATCAGTCCATAATTTTTCTTAGTTGTTAATATATCATTGCTAAATGAAAGGTTATTTAAAAATATTAAAGCTAAACTTTCTCAATATAAGACGCTTAAAGGAAAGGTCATCTGAGTTAAAATTTTTGTCATAAATTCAAAAAGCTTACTTTTAAATTATTTTGTGCATAAAGCAAAACTGACAGAAATACAAAATATAATAGACAAATCCACAATCAGACTGAAAGATTTTAACTTTTACTGTAGCACGATGAATTTCTTGTATGTGGGCTTTCTGACCCTCTGTTTACAATTATCTCAGAATGATTGGTCAAGTCATAATTTACCAAATGACTCATCTGCTTGGTATCTGCCTGTATGGCTTTTAAGTATTCATTGGTTTGCTATCTTCCTAAGGGGCTTCCATGTGCTATCCACATAATCATCTTGTGGGGATTAGTTTGTCTACTGCCCACCTAATTAATATGCTGAGGTTGGTAGATTTGCTTTCCACATAAGAGACTTTAAAGGAGTGTGTCTAAATGACTTGCCAGTTTGCTGTATAAGCACCTTATAAGATTGGTCAGTATCTACCCACCAAAGAGCTTGCCAGGGATTGATTGGTTTGCTATTAAGCTGTCTAAATTGATATTCTCTAGGTTATCTTTCTGGGTTCTAATATCCATTGCAAGGCAAACACAGAACTCAAAGACAAAATTCATGATCAGAGGGTTTATTAGGAAGGTAACAAGTTGTGATGCCCGTGAGAAATTCTCAGGATTGAGTTGTTTATTAGGAAAAGTTACAAAGTTCTGTCAAGTCTGTTAACAAATGCCCAAAGGGCATACCTCTGCCATAAGCTTAGACCCAAAGGCATTCAGCTTGAGTTCTGTAGCTGCAAACTCAGCTCCCCCAATTAAGTGCCCAGAGCACCCCCTTGTAGGCACTGAGCTTCCCTTCTGTGGGTCAGCAAGTCCAGCTTACCCAATTAAGTGTAAGACACCCGGCTCCAAGCCAGCCTCCTGCATAAAGGCACTCCAGCCTTAGCTGCTCCATGGGTTGGGAGGGCCACTATTCCACTCCATGTTCTAGCTCCTGGTTGTGCTGCTGTTCCTCTGATGTTGCGCCTGCTTTCCGGGTTTAGCAGGCTTTCTGTGCAGAGATCTTGCAGCAATGAGCTCAAAATAGGAACAATTGTGAGGATAGTTCAGGACCAAGCAGTGTTTCATTCTGTTGTGTTTAGGGTCAGTACGTATCAGAACCAACTCGATGACAGCTAACAAAAACAACAAAAACAAACAAAAATCCTCACAACTGGATGTATGGATAACATCATGATAAACAGAAGAAAGATTGAAGTTGTCAAAAATTCATTTCACTTGTGTCCATAATCACTCAGGGAAGCAGCAGTCAAGAAATTGAGTGGCATTACAATGAGCAAATCTCTGTAAGACCTCTTTAAAGCATTAAGAGCAAAGATGCTACTTTGAGGACTAAAGTGCACTTGACCCAAGTCTGGTATTTTCAGTCACCTCTTATGCAGGTGAAAGCTGAACAATGAATAAGGAATACTGAAGATAAAATTATGCCTTTGAACTATGGTGTTAAAGAATATTGAGACTGCTGTGGACTGCCAGAAGAACAAACAAATATCTTGGAAGTAGCACAGCTGGAATGCTTCTTAAAAGTGAGGCTAGCACCCTTAGGCGCTCATGCCCTGGACATGTTTCAGGAAAGACCAGTCCCTGGAAAAGGATGTCATGGTTATAAAGTGGAGGGTCACTAAAAAAGAGAATAAGCCTCAACAAGATGGAGTGATGTAGTGGGCTTGATTATAACAGTACTTGTGAGGGGGATGCAGGACTGAGTAATGCCTCATTCTATTGTGTGTTATGAGTGGAAACCAACGAGACGGCCTCTAACAGCAACAACATGTCAGAGTAAATGTGTGCCATTTAGTTCCATGTACATGATTCTTATAGGAACAGAGTACTCAGTGGTGTTAGCCTTTATTTTATGGTGATTACCTTTATTTTTTTTAATTATTATTTTTTTCTTTTATTGGGGGCTCTTACATCTCTTATCATAATCCGTACATCCAGTGTGTCAAGCACGTTTGCACATATGCTGTCATCATCATTTTCAAAGCATCCTCTTCCCACTTGAGGCCCTGATATCAGCTCCCCATTTCTTCCCGCACCCCTGCCCTCCCTCATGAAACCTTGATAACTTATAGATTATTATTTTCATATCTTACATCGTCCTCTGTCACCCCTCACACACTTTTCCGTTATTTGTCCCCCTAGGAAGGGGTTATAGGTTGATCCTTATGATCGATTCCCCCTTTTCCCCCCCCTCCACCCTCCCCTAATCCTCCTGGTATCTCTACTCTGCTTGTTGGCACTGAGGGGCTTATCTATCCTAAATTCCCTGTGTTGCGGGCTCTTATCTGTAGCGGTGTGCATGCTCTGGTCTACTCCAATTTGTAAGGTAGAATCGAGGTCATCATAGTTGGGGGAAGGAAACACCAAAGAATTAGAGGAAAGTTGTGTGTTTCATTGGTGCTATACTGCACTCTGACTGGCTCATCTCTTCCCTGTAACCCCTCTGTGAAGGGATGTCCAATTTTCTCCAGATGGGTATTCGGTCTCCATTCCATACCCCTTCTCCCCCATTCACATTGAGTATGCTTTTGTTCTGGGTCTTAGATGCCTGATACCTAATCCCATCAACACCTCATGATCACACAGGCTGGTGTACTTCATCCATGTGGACTTTGTTATTTCTTAACTAGATAGCCTCTTGTTTATCTTGAAGCCTTTAAGACCCCAGATGCTATATCTTTTGATAGTCGGGCACCGTCAGCTTTCTTCACCACATTTGCTTATGCACCTATTTGTCTTCAACTATTATGTGAGGAAGGTGAGCATCACAGAATGCCGGATTGTTAGAACAAAGTGTTCTTGTGTTGAGGGAGTACTTGAGTTGAAGCCCAATGTCCATCTGCAACCTTAATTCTTAACATATAGATATGAGTTCTATTCCCATCTACATATATATATATATATGTATATATATATACATATACACACGTACATGCCTGTATTTAGGCCTCTATAAATGTCCTTTGAATGTCCTTTGCCTCCCGGTTCTTTCCTCTATTTCCTTTTCCTTTCCTCTTGTCCCACCATCATGTTTGGCTTTCATTTGGGTTTAGTACTTCCTCACTGCTACGTTGCCCTTGATTGAGCGCCACTAGACATCCTATGCGCTTCTCTCCATTGATTTTAGTTCACTTGTTCCCTTGTCCCTGCGTTGGTTTCCCCTCCCCCTTTTATCTCCCACCTCCCCTTTTCCCATATCCCACCCCCAACAATTGATTTTGTTCTTTTCATCTCCGAATTACTTATCCTGCCTATCTTATCTAGATAGACATGCAGAT